GTGTGTGTTTGTGTGTGTGTGTGTGTGTGTGTGTGTGAGTGTGTGTGTGTGTGTGTGTGTAGATCGTGAATTTACTGCTGCTGCTTGACATAAAGTCATGTTCTCATGCTGTGACCAGAATGCTAATAAATAAAAACCTATTCCTCCTTTAACCAATCAAACTGAAATATTTAAAAAATAATAATAATAATAAGATTTGGGATGTGCTGTTCAGACTACAAATAGCTAAATGGGTTTGACTCTGATTAGATTTTTGCCGCCTGTATGAACAAAAGCACGTGTATAGTTACTCGGGGGTTTGATGAAAAACTGAATAAATCTGTCAAGAAGCATCTTCAGATCCATGTGGTCTGAGTTTATTTCTTTTGACCTACTGCTTTAGGCACAATTTACACAGTGGGACAAGAAAACAGAGAACTCTTTATATTATTTACATTGAGAAACTAAAATAAATAATTTATTTGAATGACAGACAATTATGTTTGCATGTTTAATGCATATTTATAAATTTTATTTCCTCCCTGCTTGTATTTTTTGCCAGTCTCTCGTAATGGGCTTGTAGCAGAAGACAGCGAGACTGTCTCGGATCAGATGCAGCTGCCAGTTCAAAGCGCTCTGCCGGATGAGCTGGGTCCCGGACCGGACGAGACGGTGGAAGATGTCCAGTCTGAGACCTCAGAAGCAGAGCAGACAACGGTCAGCGCTAGTGATGCTCCTCTGGAGGAGAGAGATCCAGCAGACGATCCTGAAACATCGAGTCCTGAAGCTCCTGCTGAAGAGCATGCTGCGTCAGAACCCAGTGACGCTACACCTGCAGAACCCTCTCTAGCTGTGGAACCAGCATCAGATCTCACCAGCACTCCAGAACCCAAGCCAGCTGAGCTAACAGCAGCTCCAGAAGCCCCATCAGACGCGAGCTCGGAGCCCACACTGGAGCAAGCAGACACAGCTCCTGAAGCAAAGCCAACCGCAGCTCCAGAACCAGGTCCAGTGGAGCTTCCCCTGAATGTAGAATCCACTCCAGCACCAGAACCCACTCCAGTGGAACCCGACCCAAATGTAGAATCAGCTCCACCTGCACCTCCAGAACCCATTCCAGCCGAAGTAAGCCCTGCTCCAGAACTCACTGTGTCTGAACCGGTCCCGAGTGCAGAACCAGCTCCTGCTGAGGATCCGACTGTGTCTCCAGAACACGCTGCAGTGGAACCAAGCCCAGCTCCAGAACCCACGGCTGAGG